AGCAGGTCACAATAATAGAAATACTGTATCGCACTAGGTACACAAAATTAACACATTGAATGTATGTAAGCAGAACGCTGAATAACATTTGTTAATTCCTATTCGATCCGTTAGGTATCTGTATTAGCATGTCGGTTTTGAGTTTTTAATCTGTGGACATATATAAAGCGCAAAGGCGGTAAATCATAATGCAACTTTGTTTTTTTTTATTAACACAACTTTCACTGACTTGTATCTGTGGCTTTTTATTATTATTTATGTACTACATTTTCCTTGTTATTTTTTTATGACAGAGAAGCATGGCGCTTTGTTGATAGGAAGTGAAAAGCCCTAGCCAAATAACATCTAAACAGGATACGCTGTCGGCCTATTTTGGCTTTGGACATTCGGAAATCTACGGACTAAAACCGAACCGAATGCTGTTAGTTTTTATTTGCTCGTTAGAGTTCAATAGCATGTTCGTGGCAATTTTAACTCTGTCTTATCTTATATCCTCAGCTTAACTAGCCCGATCTTAAATGTATGAATTGTGGGCGAAAATTAAAATTGATGAGTGCAACACAGTTGTGCAAAGCGTTTACCTGTTGCGAAATTCGAGTTGCTTCATTGTTTTTATCAATGCACCTCCCGTCTTATTAACCTAATTTGAATTTTCTACTTGTAATTCAAAGAATCCCTTGTATTATCTACAGATGTTATAAATATAATGTATAAATTTAATTTCGTTTTGTGTAAACTAGTTCTTAGTGCATATAATTTGGAAGTATTATTTTGACATCTGTTTGGCCTACCTTAAAGACAAATCCTTTTTAGGTTTTTCTGAATTAATAAATAGGTTTATTTTAATATTTTTATAAATTACGAATCTGGCTATCGCGTTTTCACTTAAACGTCCTCTATTTAAATGTGTACTACTCTCGTAAATTACAGAAAATAATATATCTGTTCGTTCGAAAACCGCGTATTTAGGTTTGATTTGTAGGTATATTTTGTCTAAACTTAAGGCACTTACTTACAAATAAAAAAAAATCTCAACCAACACAACTATTTTGTTTCGCCTACCTTGCCTTTAGGTTGCCTGGAAGAGATCGCTTGTTAGCGGTAAAGCCGCCCATTGCTCTCCATTCTAGTATATAAGTTTAATTTGTAATATTATTATATTTTGTGCAATAAAGATATATAAATAAATAAATAATAATAATTGTCATTCGTTTAATAGCAGTTACTGAGATTAGCGCGTTGAAACAAACAAACTTCTTCAGTTTTACATTAACGTAGATTATACGGAACAAAGAAGGAAATATCGAAAGCCGTATCCGAATAAGTTTAGCGATGCCTTAAAACGGTAGCACGAGCTAGTGTGTGTGCACATGTGACAGTTCGCAGAAACAGGATGTGTGCGTTGTCATTGACACAAATCGGTTTGTCGCACCGCGCACGCATTCAAGGAGTTAGCTAATCTATGAACCTAGTAGATAACTTACTAAAACACCAATTTATACACTAGTTATTGACTGTGACTTAAACAAATAAAAAAGGCCGCCTCACCAATGGTTAAACGTATTGCATAGCATTGCGTTAAGCGCGAGACGTCCTAAGTTCGAATCCTAGGGAAGCAACCAATTTTCCAACAAAGTTTCAGTCAAGCAAGGCACAAAAGTCAACTGCTTGCCTGTTAAATAACGGATCAGTGAAACGGGCACAGAAATTTATTCGCCCCATGCCCCGCGAAGGGGAAACGGGATTTCGCACACATGTATAAGAAAGACAGTGAAAGTCGCATATGTATTGCTGTACATTAAGAATAGAGTATTTGGATAAATCAATATTGAATTATGTGTATATATTTACACCTCTAAATAAAACGTTTAACGGTTTAAAAGGCGAAATGTATTAGATAATGAGTTACATTTCGCTATTATAACTACGGCTCGACGTTTCGGATGCATTGCAGCAACCGTGGTCGCAGGGTATTGCTTTAAATTCGTGTTTTAAGCCGCTACAAGCGTTTTATTTAAATGTGTACACAAAGATTTTGTCATCTCATTCTATTAAACATTTTTTATTACATTTTATTTAAAACAGTAATTATTAATTGGTATAAAATGTTACTTTATACGCGTTTAGAAACTTAACAATTACCTTATGTACATAAATAAATAAAAAAAAGAAGCATATGATTTAAAATTCTTAGGCAATATTTTTTTCATCTACGACTATGTTTTTATCTACACAATTTGAGTCCTACGACAATAATATATTATTTAAGTGTGAATGTGTAAACTGGTGCTCACGCGCAATTATTCCGCGTCGCAAACTGAATACTAATCAAACGAGATCACGTGCGACTTGCAACGTGATACACACATGTACACTATCTCTAATCGTATTTTGTATGCTGTGACTTCCACTGTCAATTTATTTATTTATATTTTTAATGATAGATGACGACAGACAAACAAAAGTAAAGCTAATTACTTGAAAAAAAACGCCTTTTCGAACCATTATAGGTTTCGATATTTGTAAATCCACAGACTGACACCGAAATGCAGCTAAACTTCACGGTTTTTAATCTGTGAACGGTGCGTGACCCGGACGTAAATTCGATATTCCTGCCATCCATATAATATCGAAATTTCCAGATAAAGTAAAAATTGCTTCACAATTAATTGTATGAAACATTTTGGGGATAGAATCAACGACCAGTTGATTATTAGCAATACACAGAGATACGAGCTCTAATTTCTACAAAAAAACTGAATTATCTACGATGGACCTATTCCGCGCTCTCAAATCTACCATTAGATCAGGCGTAGGCTTTAAAAAATATTATAAATCAATGGGAAACTGATTACATTAGCTGTAGTCGATCAGAACTTAAAGAGTCGTATTAGCAGTTTTACAGTAATATTCTACAACATACGATGCTGTAGAATATGACTGGCTGGGATAAGTTTTTGTAGGTTTGAAGTCGTTCTTCTAAAATAACGAAGAGGGTTCCTGGTATGTTTAGAGACTTCTGATGACCTCTCGTAGTGTTAGTACTAACAGCCCCCTGTATTACTTCTCTTAGGATGAATGAATGCTATACTAAAACCTATCCTAGTTAAAGGAAAATTTCGTCCATATTATTCTATTAAACAGAAAGTATGAATGTACGGACAAACCAAGAAAAACAGACCGCGTCAGAGTGACATAACGAATTATGCGGGTCATGGCTGTGGCTGCGCGGGCGCACTGCATTGATGCACAGATACACCAGCCAAGTGTGTGTTTGCGGGATGCGGAAATATTAATCGAATAAGTATTTTCTTTCATGCAACATATGTTTACAAAGTTGGATTACATAAGTATTGTCTGTAGTTCACGCGAAGCGAACATTTAACAAAACACAATTTATCGTTTTAAGCGCAAAATTGTATTGATCAATTTATTCAAATTACAGCCAGGTTTTACATGCTTTGTAGCAGCCTTGTCCACGGGGGTATTGAAGATGGAGGGTGTCCTTAAAGTTAAATCGTATACACTAGCGCCACCTCGTTAGAAGTGATTCATTTAAAAACTAAAAATACTGTAATTAGCTTCTTATAGGCAATTTGTGCAAACTAAATAGTTACTTTAGTGTGTAATATTGAGGACGATGATTAAGAAGTTGAAATATCTTCTTTTTAATAAGAAAACGCATACGAAATAAATTCGAATGACTAATATCTTGGCATATTGATATATATATTTTTGATTCTAAAGTATGCCAATTCTGCATTGCTCTCCTATATAAAATATAATTATTGTTTACACCTAACGAATAAGTGATTCTCCGTTGACGTCATTCTTTACTCCAGTTATGCCAACCTTGACACAAAAAGCTTGAAAGATTCTCAACCCGTTACCAGGAAATTAGGATAATTTTCCAATATGCGAGTGTTAAATTATTCGCACTATCCTGTTACTATACTCGAATGTTATTTGGGTTATCAACTTCTGCCTAATCCTTTATTTAATGGGTCACCGTGTTTCTGAATATCTCTAATGAATAGCAAAATTTTCGTAAATAAAACTGAAGTAACAAGCTTTTCATTTTTAATGAAATGTTATATTGAATTTTTATTAATAATATTAAAAATATTTTAGAAAGATACTTCGTTAATCTTCACTTAGGCACTTAAATTTATTTGTGCAAATAAAAATAGTAAATCTAAGCACGCGTATAAAGTTTTCAATTCTAAAAGACAATATTACGTTTGCCATAAAACTACTTTTGTATGTTCTTGTTAAATAATAATATTTTTTAGTACTAAGCGATGAAGATGATATGTTCAGACGCCATAATTTCCATTTATTTCATAATTTCTAACAAGACAATAATTAGATTAAATTATATCATTAATCATCATTGACGTTTTTACTTATTAATAGTAAAAAAAGTCGCAATCAATTCACGATTGTAATTTTCTAAGCAAATTAAAATTATTAGAGAGTTAATAACTAGTAATATTATTTTATAGGAAAGTAGAGAAAAAGCTTTCTCTTCCGTCCATTCGAGTTAGTGGCGCCATCTTGAGGCATTTTTATTATCGAGATAATTTATATTCAGTATGGTATTATTATCTTTTTCCTAATTATGTTTTTTAAAACAAAATCAAAGTAATCGCAGGAATTCTATAAGTATCAATGATTATAAGCCCTACGCATTTATTGATTGTTACTATGAGTAAAAATATTTCCAGCCATATAACTTTCTCTCAAATGACAGCAATAACTAGGTAAAAGCCAGGGGCCGCGAAAGGAAAATCTCTACCACTTCCTCAAGCGGAAATTGAAAGTGGATTAACTGCAAGAGAAAACTGCATTAGGTACCGGTAGTATGATCGACTAATGCACTTTTACTGTACATTTGAGATTAAGCGCCATCTATTATTCGTACTAACAACATATTATTGTTAACAACACCATCTAGACATTGTTATTAGAAGTCAGTGTAGAATTGTATTGTAGTTTATTTAGTTGACACTAGATGGCAGTATTTGCCAGTGTTCTGATTTTAAAGAGGATTGGTGTTTGGTACCACAACCTGACAACGACGTAGGGAAAAATATATTACCTGTTGTATAAAAACCTTGTTATGCTTAAAAACTGAATCAATATAACAATTTTATTTTGCTAATAAGAAAATGTATGTTCTCCAATAATATGACCGTCAAACACATTTATATCTACTTATTATCTCAAGCTATGCATCTTATTGCTTATCTAACAAAATTAAAATTAACACTCCAAATTTTAAAGTATTTGTCGATGACAACTTTTTTAGGCTTGAAGGTACAATCTGGAGTGAGTAATCCCTACTCCCGAATTTCGATTTAATAACATAAACGTACCTTTACCTCCACCAGCATCATGCACCTGCGGCTTTCCACTCGGCACCCGCTGCATTGGTGATGCACTTCCATAGTTCATACTCGTCCCATTGTACTCTGAGCCCACAGTTCCCGGTTCTTGCTTTATGCCGCTAGATGTCGCTGCTAGCTTTTCCGCAAGTAAAGGATTTGCGGATGCAATATTATATCTTCCGTTGTTGATGGTATTCGTCACAGCGCTGTTAATGGCACTTGTGCCCGATCTTAACAGTTGTTGTAGCCTCTGCTGTCCATTATTTGGCAAGAGGAGTTGGTTGTTTTGTTGGTAATACGAGCCTTGTAACTGGCTCCCGGACGCTGGCGATATGTTATTGTTTTCTTCTTGCTGAAAATGTTTGAACAATTATTAGAGACGTATTACATCTAACGAAATGAATTAACTTTAAACGTAATATTTTTAAAGGTTTTTTACGTTGCATGTAATATTATAACTATTCCATATTTAAAAAAAGATTGTATGTAAACTGTAAATACACTATACAATTTCAAAATCGATTATAAATTGAATTGTTTTTATGACACGACTTTAGTACCAGCTGTAAGGTTGAAGTTACATTGTGCGAGCACATGTATCAATAGGTTGAAAAAATTCGACGATGAGGTATTGAAAATGGGAGGGCACGGTAGCTCAATTGGTTTGAGCTACAGCACTGAACGCTGTGGAGGCTGGTTCATGTCCTGACCGTGTCGTAGTTTTTTATCGATTTATAATTTTAAAGTATGTATTTACATTGTCAAACCAGCTTTGTGGCATTCTCACGGCAGCACGTGACTTCAAGTGCTGCATGTGTCAAATAATATACAAATATAAACAAAATTACCTTAATCTCTATAGGTGGAACAGCGGAGGCGGTAGCATTTGTTAAGTCGGTAAAAAAAGTATCAAAATTATCAAATGCAGTTTCTCCCAACTGTTTGAGGATATCGTCTGGGTCTGCCGCCTCTGAGGAATCAGCCTCTAGTGTTAAACCACCGACGAAGTTCGACAGCTCCGCTTGTGACAACTCCCCGAGAGATGTCGCCATTTGTATTTGCATCTGCGCTGTCGTTTGCCCGTTAGCTACCGCGTCCTGGAATTATGTAAGTGAATCATCAATTCAAGCTAAAGTTTTAGAATTATTTTTGATCATAATAATATACAAAATCAAAATCGATTGGATATCCGTGTTATTCTAAAATTAATGCGATAAAAGCATCTGCTTCTTGTCAATAGATGTCGCTACTAGCATCACAAAAAAATTGATAACCAAAATATTATTTTTTATGAAAAACAACAAATCTCTTTTACTCGATACAGTAAATTAAAAATGTACATTAAAGGACTATTATGTTGTACCAAACAATATGGCTGTTGTACCAAACATATTGTTTGGTACAACAGCCGTGTCTTTTTGGAAACAATCTTTCTATTATTACATTTCACAATAAAACCAATAAACAAACCTGCAGGCAATTGGAGAGATCAACCATTCTTCCCTCATTTTCCGCTGTCCACCACTCGTCTTCAATAAATGGCATCGCCAGCGCCGGCAACGACGGCGCATGCGTCCCCGCCACGTTGTCACACTTAAAAAACGCCAGATGGCGCTATCACTAAATCACCACACGTTCTAAACACTATCAACTAAAACTGTACAATCACTAAAAAGTTTGTTCGAAATGTTTGGCAGTATCTTGGACGGACCGTACATTATTCGTTGTATAAGTTGTTAGAGAATTTGGTACTCTGTTGCGGAACACATTTTGGTGTATTGTCTTGAAGCCCGTTGAGCTGATCTCCGGCCAGGTTACCTCACTCCTCGCAGACCGCTTCTCTTCAGCAGTGACCTGATAAAACCAGAACAGTAGGCTCTCACGCATTTCAACATGGTAAGGTTAATATGTAATTTTTTATGGCGAATGTGGGGTTAGTCAAACTACTCTTTAGTCGATGGTTCAGTATAGAGTTTAGAGCGAATGGTGAAATGTAGAGAAAAGTCTGATAAGCAAAGTTAGAAATGGATAAATATAAAAAATTGATTGCTGCTTATATACTTACCTGAGGCGAGGGTGATAAACCCTCGCCTCAGTTATTTCATATTTGACAACGAATCCCGCAAGTCTAAAAAGTCGTGGTAGAAAGAAACTTAGTATTTATACTCAGTTTTACGAACAACTGGTATCTAATGGATAGTTATGTTTTCTATAGTAAATAGATGGCAATGAGTTCACCTGGCGACGTCCCGGTGTATGTCGAATCTTCGTCGATGCGGCATAGAGGCGGCGCGCCACAGCACTGTTTATTGTGCACACGCCGCTCTGTAAAAAGAAATAAAAACGTTACACAAAAAAAAACATTTAAATACGTACGAGTGCGTAAATATATTTAATCAATATTGACTTCCATAGCCTAGTTTGATCGCTGATAGGCTAATTCCTTTGACTTAGATCGTGGCTATAATATCGGCTGTTACTTCTTTTTATTCAACTTTAACACCACAGAAATGGTTTACAAGAATAAAAACTTATGAACTACCTTAGGACGGCCTTATCGCTAAATAGCGATCTCTTTCAGGTAACAGATGTGAAACAAAAATAAAAGTACTACAGGTAGGTGGTGCTAGAGAGTATCGTGAAAAAGAAAGTCATTTAAGAGCTGGAAAGATATAATTTCAAAACTTTTCTTTCCTTTGTTTTAGTAACTTCAGTGCCAAGAGACTCTCAAGTAACTCTTCTTGCGGTCACATAAATAGATACGCTTTTTGTTAATGTAGTTAACAATATATGATGATTATTTCAAATGTAGCTTAGTACGCTGTTTATAAAATAATTAATATATGTACATTAAAATCTTAGCAACGAATATTCTGTAATAACAATGCACGGAAGGCTGAATCTCAGTTGAAGTCTAAAGCACAATAACATTAGACAAAAAGCGAACAATGTATCATTACCTCTCACTTAATTGCAGACTTTTGCTTACTACTAATACTTCCTAGAACTTTCTTTACTGAATTATTAGCGCTAGAAGTTATCCATTGTCATTGTTATAATAACGTTAAAAACTTCATAATTATTTTATAGATAAAAAAAATAATAAAATGTCTACCGTCGCATTGCTTGCCTAAGAAGATGAAAAGTCAATATTTTTTTTTATCTACGCTAAGTTGTTGGACAGTACTATGTATATAAATTATATCTTTTTTGTATCCCACTCCAATGAAATGTATATTTTATAGGCTTTCTTGTTACGTGAGGCCGTGGAAAGTGAAACGGAGATAATATGAGATGGCGTGTGTCGAGCGTTGACTCGTCCACCACACTCGATTGTCATGACAACGGCGCACGCGCAGCATTACATCAATTTATGTAATAAGATTATGAGGCGTATAATGATATCGGTGATCGTAAATAAGACTAGAAAATTATCAATTAATTGAAAATATAAGACTGATATTAAAAATATAAACAATTAACATTGCAAGATAATTAGATAAGTATTTTATAATTTTTCCGCTAGAAATTATTATACAGCCGTTTAATTTGTTGAAGTAGACACTAAACCTTGACTAGATCACTTCCTACTGCATATTGCTGAAGACCTTGTGCATTATCGCAACATTGGCAATGAGTCTGGCATCGTAATAAAATGCATTATTAATAAGGATATTTACAAAAACCAGAATTAGCATAGTTTAGCAGCTTATATGATATAATTGAATATATGGCAAACAAGCGCCACCTATTGGCGAATAGTAATTGTCAGGTAGGTTTCTTCTTACATTTTCTAATTGATAAATAAATAGATACGTATCTTTAATTTTTATGATTATTTAAATTGTATTGTATATTATACACTTAAGCTAGGTATAATAATTATTTCGTAAAATAATAAATACGTGACGAGTATCGCGGGTAACATTAGAGTAAACTGTCAACTGACAATAACAGTTAATGTCAACTGTCATTTTTGTATATATCGGTTCGTGTTTATTTACATGAGGAATATTCTAGTTTTAAACAAAAATGTCTGAAGGGTCATCTTCAGAATCCGAGACTAGTGCATGTAGCTCAAAATATAATCCTATAAAAGTGCTCTATTCGTCAAATCTCAAGGTACCAGTAGAAAATGCTCCCGTGTATGAAAATGTTCAGCAATTCGAAGCGGCTTTGCAAAATCATGAACAAATTCTTCCAATAGGTCAAGGAGACCTTGTCAAATCGAGAGAGGAAGAAAAACGGAGAAAAAAATTGGAGGAAGAAAGGCTACTAGAAGAAAAGAATAAACAGCGCTTCGCTAAATATGAAGGTAACTTTTGAGGTTATGTTTTTGTTATGAATATAACTTTGCTGGCTAACGCAATATTTGCTAGTTAATAATAATACTATTTATTATAAAATGCAATAAAAAAGAACCTAAGTAAAAAATATGCTTCCCATTATATCTCCATTTCTAAAAAAGTTATTGAAGATAAAAGAAGTATTTTATCTAATATTGATGTTGTATTAGAAAAGTTACTATAGTTTTCTGGAAGCTTGGAAAAGGAACTTTTCATATATATAAGATTACTATAAATGTTTTTGTTGTCAGTCCATACACATACCTTTAGCTGCTTATTATATTATAAACAACTACAGTCCTTAGATATATCAAAATTATACTAAATTAAATAAGTACATATAGATTAACAAATGTTTTAACTGCCCAGTTATAATAAACAGTACAGGTGCAAATGTTTATTCTGTGCTCCTCTGTAGGCTATTGCCCTTAGGTTGTTTACCCCTGCATTTATAAAAATAGAGCATTAACCTTGTTTGCAACTCCTTTGACTTAGATTTAACACTGTGAAAAGCCTGTTATGTTTTCTTAAATTTTAAATTTATGTTACATATCAACATATTCTGATGTGACAATAAAATGTAATAAATATTGTAATGCAGTTCAAAGTAATTTTACTTAATAAATGAACTTGCAAATATGTTATTAGCTGCAATAATTGTTTGATTGGCAACGCTACAGCACACTATGTAGTGGACTCAGCTGTGGATAACATTACTTGATTTTTATAATGAATCCGGAAACACTATACTTATTTATCTTTTAATTTTATACAATATTTAAGCACGCAGAGCATTTTTTAAATTTATATTTATGCAGCTTGACAGGTCATTTCTCCAACTGAGTGTAGGTTCCGCAAGACTTGTGTGCTCCTTATTAATGAAGAGTTCAGTCTATTTGCATATACAACAGTTATGTTAGCAATTATAGACCATATGTTATACTTCTTATAGAAGGTTATGACCCTTCAGTCTTGCTTGATTAGATTGAAAAATATGTTTGATTAGCATAAAACAGGTGTTCTCTGACTGTGTGAGGGCAAGTCTCTTTTTGTTCTATGTCGAGTATTTATAAGGTAGCTGTAAAGTGTCATAGAGTTAATAGCTTCATGTTTTTTGTAATGTGGAATTGGTCATTGACTTTTCTCCGAACACATTGTTGACATTAGGATGAGTAAAAATTTAAATAAAACACTTTTTAAGGGTTCAAAATGCGAAAAATACATACAATATTAAAGCATTCAAAACATTGGACCGTAGTTATAATAAAGTAACTAGATTTAGCGTTTTAAACCGTTATTTTTTTTATTTAAATAAGTAAATAGTCAAATGCAGTTTCCCCATGAGAGGCATAGGATAACTTATTTCTGTGTCAGTTTAACTAATCGGTTTTAATTATAGACAAGTAGTCTATTTATGTGCACTGCCTGTCGGAAACAATTAATTGCCCAGGATTCGAACTCGGGACTTCTCGTGCTTAACGCAATGCGCGGCAACATGTTTTTAGTTTACGCGAGAAGCACACATTTAATTAAAACATTATAACGGTTTAAAACGCGATATATATTAGTTAAACTTATTTAAATAAGTTAAAGTGTTTTAGGTATTTAAACATGTTTAATCATTCGAATAAGGAGACGGAAAGAATAATTATCCATAATTAAATTTATTGAAATGCCAGGGCAAGTGGGTGCTAAGACTCCGTTTCCTATACCTACCCTCAAACTGTGTTATTTACATATCGTCCATGAGTGGAAATAATTCGGATCCCTGAATGTTAGCAGACTGGCAAAAGTGTCTATAACAAAAGATTAAGTACAGCGCATAAACTAACTAAAATTCTATTTCTTTATGAATGGAGTCCCCGGTTGTTGGTATATCAACAATAACAAGAATCATTAGCATACGTCCCTGACCTGGCCGCGTCACTGCGACGGCTTATTACATAACTATTGGCTTTTTTCTTTTGTTGGTAGGGTCTGATTAAAGAGTTTCCTAGTCCCTTGAGAAACATTAGAAGCTATAACTGCTGACTACCAGTATATATTATAACGACAAAATCCTAGAGTCTTTTAGGTATGATCATTTTAATAAAAACGGTTTAAAACCCGAAATATATTTATTTTGAACTAGATCCGAGATTTCGAATGCCTTTCGTTAGCCGTGGAGCAAAACCACGTGGTTTAATTACCTACTTTAGAATTTTTGATGAGAAGAATTCAAGCATGGTAATGATTACTTTGATAAATAATGATATAAAGTAAACTAAAAGCTTTCTATTAAAAAAAAAAAACACGAAATGGAAGTACAATGTCCCTTATACAGTAGACCTTCATGAGTTGCTTATAAAAATCAAATGATCACTATGTTAGCTTACTACATGTGAATTAATTGCATTATTTCATTCAACGTCATGTCAAATTTTCCATTGATTGGCTTTCTCTTAAACCTTTGCGTAACAAATGGAAATCGGTCGTGTTGACTTCTAACTCACTTTTATTTAGGGCGGACATACGATCGCGTGTTAATTCCCGCCAAAATGACAAAAATGGCGCTGGGCGGGAAAGTAAAGGCTTAGGGGCGATACTACGAACATTTGGATTAACCTGCTTATTTAATATCGCGGTTTTTATGTAAGTAGCAATAGCTAATCTTTGATGTTTATCGCTTGATGTATTATTTGCTACTCGTACACCATGTGTAATTTTCAAGAACAAAAAGTTTGCATTTATTTTCTCTTTTTAAAATATTGGCAACCCTAATTTAGAAGCTGTAACAAAACGTGCAGCTGGCAACTATTCCTTACTCTGTGCAATACAGACCTAATTTGAACTGGTTTCGACTTAGATGGTATCATTGTTTAATTAGTGACGTTGCGTATGTCCCTTTGATCGCATAGATAATGTAAAGTATATTCAAATTAAATTTAAGATGCATTATTTCGGCAATGCTTATTTCCTACTAGGCTTATTTTTTGTGGGTTATAGCAGACTCTTATTAGTATAATACTGATTATTATTAGTGCAGATATAATCTGTCCTCGTTGTTGTAGCTTTCGCTTATAAGTTTTGAGTGATGTTGAAATTAAATCGATAAGTTCCACGCAAGTCTTTATGTAATATTGACAGAATGAACCAGCAAAGCTGCTTAATGTCTATTACTCGTGATGTAATTGACAAAGAAATATTAGTCAATTCAGCTGTACTGTTTCATTGTTAATTAACAGTTTGCGGAATAATTAATTAATCGTAACATATTCGAGACAGTGCTTTCCCTTCGTTAGCAACAATATAATTAAGATTGAGTAACGATTAATAAGAATGTTGCCAGTACACAATATAATTATTTAACGAAAATTCACAGTCATCTAACTTTCATTATCAATCCTCGAGACTCGCATCACATCGTCAAGATATTAAATTGCGCTTAGGGTTGCCACTCTTCACTTTTTCGTGAAAAGTTCAATGACTTAATGATCATGTTACCTAGGTAACTTTCTTAGACTGGTGTAATTTTATAGGGTTTAATCGAAGTCTGATCTCTACCTTTTTCTTGTATATATTTACACATCATAGAAAACGCCTTAAAACAAGACTATTCTCCCGCGAAAAAGTCAAATTGTGTCTAAAGTTGTACCTACAAAATCTATAGAATTGCAAAATGACTCCTTGCTCGTGTAATTTTGTAAATCTTTGCATTTTAAAATGTTAATATATCCACATTTTGTTATAGACAATGGGTGTGACGGTAAAATTTATAATTTTGTTTAAAAAATAATTTATAGTGGCAACCCTAACTGCATCATAGATTGGTTCGCTAGACTTTCGCGTGCACACATTGCATAACAGCTTTCCACTCGAGTGGGACGCATGCTGCCTCGCGACTCGCCTTGCACCCTGGAACATCGGTCGTTGACACTGAATAGATCATAATGTGCTCTAGATATATATCGCTATTTCTCTAGGCGACACTAAATTGAATTAGGTCTATGCGTAGAGATAGGCTTATAATAAGGTATGTTTGTCCACAACTTTGAGTAGGTATTCAAAGTTAACATATGTTACGTAAGATTGAATCTTATAGGAGCAATACTCCCATGCAAATAACTTCTAACCGATTAAGAAAATGTTGAACGACTTTCCCACACTAAAATGTCCAGCAAGTATTATGTCTCAGAAAACATCGTAAATATTTGCCGCAAAAAGATTTATGACTACCTACTTCCTGCTTTCTTTTATATTGCTGATTAATGTGTTTAACGATGCGGGTATATTGAACGAAAATAGATGCATTTTTTTTACGTTTAACCAGCCAAAAGTATAGGTGGAAAATATAGAACAAAACATAAGTTACTCTTAGTCTGTTTTGCCGTATCTGTGCTAGTGTCAAAACAGTGTCGTAGGGGTTGAACAGAGTAATAAAAAACATTTTTTTTTAATATTATCCAATAATTTGTATAATGTTTATGTGATAAGGTAATAACGAACGAACACGAAAAAAACTAATTATAATTTTTCTAAAATTCCCGCGTTTTCATTGACAGGAGTCATAGAGCAATTGTGGCCGCGTTCACGAAAACATGGCGTCGAAAAAAGTGAATCGGCACGTGTTACGTGCGCGTAATAGGTTCGAAACGGAACGCAACCGGAAGTGATGCAATGCGTTTCGGCGCGCATCTGTGTAAACATGGCGCGCGCTTCTGAATGGCGCGATCGCTTCCCGCGCTCGGCGCTCGGCCGACGACCCCGCGCTCGGTCACCGCCCGGGGATACTCGAGTGAAAGTAATTCGCGAAAGAGCCGCGCTCGTGTCTTGTACCCGCACCTAGCCGGTGTTGGATTTATCGACGCGGCTTTTTTAACCCCGAGCCGTTTCATAAAAAACTTCTAGCTTCGAGAAAGAGATAATAAGCACAATTCTCGTTACACTCTAGACTTTTTTCTTTTGAGTAATATCTTTTCATTAAGATTAAAGAATTACGTTTAGTTAGGAAGTTGAGTTACTTACACAATGTTTTAAAATCTTAATTAGTTATTATTAAAGAAAAATATAATAAAATATATAAAAAAAACTTTTTTTCAATGATGTATCACTGTTGTGACGTATTTCCATAAGTAGAAATCCCAAGCTCCAAGTACCAATTAAAAACCTAAGTATTTTCTAAAAAGTTGCATTGTTGGATATTAGTGTATTCGGGTACCTAATAAAAAAAAACATCTATTCGTGGGCACAGCTGGTGTAAAGCATCGGGAAAGTCATTCATAAAAATACGTAATATAATATATAGTTCGCGGTTTAAACCGTTTAAAATGTTTGAATAAAGAAGACGAATAATACATTTTAATAATTCTTTAAAATAATATGCGTTCACAATTTCGAGTAACAAGTTAACCTGTACGTTTCGTAATTACGATGGATCGCGTGTGGGGTCACGAGCAGTGCTTTGAACTCGTTGAACGCAAAAATTTGGCAGCGCGAGAAGTTCAAACCAATAATACATCATATTTTTGTACTGGCTTTGTTTAGGAGAGTTTCTTCGGGAACATATGATTCTAACTACGATACATAGTTCTTTCTGATGTGTTAAATCCTTCGATCTAGTATAGAATGTCATTAAAAGAATAATAAATTTTTCATTTTCATTCATTAAAAGACTGATAAACTATTTGTTTAGGTAGTTTTTCTTCTAATTAAGATTATGTGTAGCAAGGTACATTTTTAGCTTGCGTTTTTAGTTAATGGCGTTATATAAACGTTATGTAAACAAACTACATTATTTTAGCTATAAAATGGTTTCATATTATTAAAATAACGTGTTTTAGTGTCTGTGTATACACAATATAATTTTGAGGTTATAGCTATTAAATACCTATGTAGTTATCTTTATTTTTTGTGTTTTATTTTTTTACAATAAAGCTTAACATTTCATATGTACATCTTTATGTTTTATTCCTCATTATCATTATATCCCACCGCTGGGAATATCTCCTATGACGCTTAAGCGTTCGGCAGTTGTCACTATTGTTCTGGGAGGTTCTATATATAAGATGGATTCACAAAAATCTCCATGTGTCAATCTTTCAAAGTAGGCTCAAAGTTATAGCAAACAACAATAAGTATGAATCAGATCTTCGGGTTAGTCCATTGCCCTTACTGAACAATAAAATACAGCTGTGAAAATACGACAAATGGAAAAACGTTATTTGCGTCATTCCGCGTCGTTAATGTGAGGAATCGACAATATAACGAATACACGACAAATATATATACGGACTTAAAGCTTATATTTTTATTAAGAGCAAAAAAGATATATGAAGATCAATAAATAACCCTTATTTAAAAAGTTACAATATATTTCGATATAAAAATCAAGCTTAATGCGATGGTGAAATAAATTTATATGAAAAATACATTATTGTAAAACACGTTTACTACAAAATTTAGTTTAAAAATAGTATAAAAGGTTTGTCTGTTAAAATTGTTTGAAAAAGGGTCTGAAAAATCTCCTAGCAACATAGCTTAATGTAATTTTCATTGAATATTATTGGTTTAATGTTCACTTTTCTAGAAATGTATTGAAATATTTTCGTACTGGCAGCAAAGAAGAACAGCCAAGTGCAAACCTTATTTTAAATTTTATAGTATGTAGCGGTTACTATCATTAAATCTTATTCTAGCTTAGCGAAACGTAAAACAATGTTACATAATAAGATTTAGGACCTCCCACGAACAAGGGATAAATGTCAGAGTAACTTTCGCAGGACACCTTTGCTATCTGCAAACTAGAAAGCGAGGAAAATACAATGTGATGTGGTATTTAACCGACTGTGAAAGGAGAACGTGTTTTTCCAATAAATTATATGAGAATTAACTCAGACACAGCACTAATGATTTTGAAGTCAGAATGAGTTTAGAGAAAAAAATAAAATAAGCTATTACACATATTTTCAAATAGACAGTATTTTAAAGTTAATTTTAAGAAGTTTTTCTCTGTGGAGTTCAGCACGTAATCGCATGAACATACGCTGGGAGTTTAATATTTATCACTTATCAAAATGTTTACTTAATTTTACAGCACACATTCCAGTATGATTTATTAACTATATGTTTTGTTTGTTTCCATTTAAAAAAATCTCTGTAGTTTACGCGAGTAGTACATATTTAAATAAAACAGTTTAATGATTTAGAACGCGATATATTTTAGTTAAACTTGTTTTAAAATTATTTTTAACTTCAGCCCAACGTATCGGATGCTTTGCAGCAGCCTGTTTAACTAAAATATATCGCGTTTTAAACCGTTAAGTGTTATTTAAATACTTTAGTATAGTCAATAGTCAGTTACTTTTACCCCCGCTTTGGCTGAAAATTGGGCCATCGACGCTACTGGTGGTGATTCAGAAGCACATAATATTAATTCTACCCGTGCCTAATGTTTTATCGAAACAAAGATTATAGTTGCATATATAATATAATATATATTTTATGAAATGTTTAAACCGTTTAAACAAGTGTCCACACATTTTACATACAGCTTTTTTTTGATATTATTATAATTCTTTAAGAATGTATTCTTTCTGCAGCGTTGCTGCCTAAAAGAAAAGAAAAGAAAGCTAAGAATGTGCTCACGCGCATAGAAGCTAGTCAAGGGCCTCTAGGAGCGCTGAAGGACTGCGTGGAAAAACGGTTGAGAGTCATGGTGAGTCTATTCACTCCTTGATTTATGAAAATGAAAGTCACAGTTAAAATTATGTATATGTTTTAAACTCGAAAGTTATAAGAAATATTGTTTTACAATATTTAACAAAAGTACGTATATTGCAAATTTGTTAAGCTTTCGACTAAGTATTTACGTTTAGCCTGTTTTTAACGTAAAACATATACCTCTTAAAAATATCCTATCGTTTATTCTTAAGATTACCAATAAGCCTCTTAACACTTTCCTTTATCTTAAGCGCAGTATTTCTACAAACAGCTTTCAGTATCGCCTAAGAATCCATCTAACGTTAATCATAATCCTAAACGCATGCAAACGAATCCTTTGTGTGGATCTGGCCCAAGTCCAATACGGAAGAACGAAGGAACGTTAGCGCAGTTAAAGCTAAAATAGAAGTGCATACAGACCAGAAGACTTTTGTGGAAGTCGTTAAAACTGGCCTATATCGAACTTCCTGTGAGATATTTGGCTGTCAAACATTTATGGCCATACAGAATGTGCTTGTTGGTCTAATGGTCTAATGTATGGCTAATAATCAATGGTTCGTGGGTTAGATGCCCACCTGATTAGTTCAAACATGTTACTATCATAAAAATAGTTTGATCTAGTTATGTCAGCGACTTCGTCTGTTAGTAGAATAGTTATTTAGGGCATCAAAATTGGATTTTGCAATTATTTCATCTTTTTTGGGTATCTTGAACCGCAGCGTACGGAAAGCAAAGCATCGGAAACCCGCAAAGATGAATATTTTTTTCCCATTTTTTCTAGATTTCCTGTTGTATCCCAACAAACAAACAAACAAACTCTTCAGCTTCTTTATATTAGTATAGATAAAAAAATTCAAGATGTCTCTAACATAAATTGTTTCAATCCTGTAGAATAACAAACTAGAATTCTTCCATAGTGGAAATGTGGGAACATTCGATGATTTTGTTGTAATCTCAATCGTCGAGTGTGAGTTAAGACCAGAGACTGAGTCATGGAAAGTGGTCTAGGAAGGGCCTTGCCAACATCAGCTGCGTCATTCCGTGCTATTAATGGAAACTTGCACTTTGTTGATCTAGCATTTATACTGAAGAAATAAAGATATCAGTTCAATTGTTTCCTTGCATTTGTAAGAGATAGCAAAAATACGAGGTACGGCCACACGCAAAAAAAATCAAAGCCTTTTTTAATAAAAAATTATCGACTGACTGTATCGTCTATCATTAGACAAACATACAATACTGTCTGTAATTTAAAAAACGAGAATAAATTGAAAAAAAAATTCGACTCGGGCAGGACTTGAACCGGCATCATCAGCGTTCCGAGCTGTTGCTCTTATTTTCGATTTTTAAATTATATAGCGCCTTCATGTGCATGCGATAGCATATAAACAGCGATAGCAGATAAAAAATATTAAAAATCGAATTGAAATTGAAAAAAATTACGACACGGGCAGGACTTGAACAAGCATCGCCAGCGTTCCGTGCACACATTTAAATGATACGATTTAAAACGCGAAATAAATTAGTTATATATGTTTAAAATTATTATTTTTAACGACCCGACGTTTCGCATGCTTTACAGCCGTTTTCTTTCTCTATCTTTAACAGTTTTTTCAACAAGAGCCTTCATCTCTCCATATTTCATTGTAATTAAGTTAATTAAAAGCTATTTTAACCGGAAAAGGAAGCAATAAGACAAAAATATCTGTAAATAATAACTTATCACGAAGTCTAATTATAACATATATTGTTTTAAAAGCCTTGCAAACTATTTAAACATTTTATTTTGTAATTGTTTGTTTTTTTAAGTTCACCACTTTATATTCACCTTGAATACTAATTCGATGTTTCTACGACGTTGGAAAAATTACGTACCTACTATCGTTGTGCCTACGAGGATATTTATATTAAGGCTGGCGAAAAGAAAATTCCAGTATAGCGTTGCCATGACAACCTTTCTTTTAAATCTTTATTTGTTATCAGTTTACACAATTATGAAATCTTGATATAATAATAATTATAGTACGTATTGTTCTTTAACGTAACTGTACCGACTCTTCGTACAATTTTTATTAATTAAAAAAAATGCTTTTACGACTGGGCGTTTCGACTGTTTGGTTGCAACCGTGCTCTCGGGGGGGGACACAAAACGTCTGATCGTAGTTAAAATTAATTTAAAAGGATTTAACTTAAATATTTCACGGTTTTAACCGTTATAAATGTGTACTACACACAATACTAGATTGTAGTTAAATGAAATTTTAAGGTTTATATACTCTTTCTTTGAAAGTGTACTTGAATATATAAATATTTTGTTTTATATAATACATATATAATAAATTCCCTTTTCTATGTAGGTTAACATAGTACGATCGGACAACCCAATATGGAATTGTTAGTGATAAAAGATAAATGAAGTTGGAACTATTGTTATGAATGTTAACAATTGTCTACAAGCGATGAAAGTTGGTCCCTTAGATACTGAGAGAAAGGGCCCGATCGATGTGTTTAATTCAGGCTGAAGCCTGTTTCCACAGTACAAGAATAACCAGTAGGGCACGTGTAAAGCAGTGATAGATGGAATTTAGTGAACGATGATTGCAAGTTTATAAGTTGTAATAATAATTCTGGTCTTTGACGGCCTCGTCTCGTCGTAGATCTAATGGTGGTAATTTAGAGCCAATAATCAAATGGTTGGATTTCCAACGGGTACTAAATATTTCTAATCATTTTTATAAATTCCGCCCACAAATGAAAAATTCGTGAAGTTTTAGAATATCCACCAAGTAGTCCATACTTGTCTGTCCACCATAAAATAGAATGGGTAATCCTTTATTATCATCGGGTTTTATTATTTAGAAGAACGGTGGTTTACTGTCCCTGTGTAAACTGTGGTTTTCTGGTGAACGAGAATGTAGTGTACATAATACAACGTCCTCAGTAGAAATCGTAAATCGTACTCCATTAGGCCATATCCTACACCTCTGTTCTCGAATCGGTGGACGTCCATTGTTGATTTATACCCGCGATATATGGGGTTCGACTAGATTTATTATTTTAATTCTACCCGCGTTTGTTTATACGGCAAAGTCTCCGAAGTTTGATCGGGAATTTAATGAAGTTATAAAAAAGCTTTTTTATGATAGGTAGAGGAGATAAGCATGGGGTTCCCTTGAAGGTAGGTAAAAAAATGCCCCTGTAGCTTCCAAACCCGGCCCGGGACCTTTTTTGGGTTTGGGTTTTCGGGAACCCCGGGGGGAAAAACCGAAAAAAAAAAAATTTTCCCGGCTTTTTTTTTTCGCCTTGGGCCCCCCCCGGGGGTTTTTTTTCCCCCCCCCCCCCAAATTTTCCCCTTTTTTCCCCGGGGCTTCCCTTTTTTTTTTGGAAAGACTTGGTGGAGTGTAACCCACGACCTTGATTATTAACCGTACGTTGCTACCATTATACCAACAAAAATAATTGAAGCCTCATAAAAAATACTATTAACAGTGTACGGCCATTAAAATTATGTAAATTTTTTAAACAATATTACGTCATCGTGGGTGTCTATTATATATAATAATGACATTTTACTATTAAGAAAAGCAATTATGAAAATTATGTTGTCCCATATAAATTTCAGGCCCTAGAATTTTCTTCAACAACAGCGGAACTGTTTGTTTTATTTCCAAAATCATTAGTGATAAATACGTCTGGTCCTACAGTATGTTAAATATATTCAATGCTGGCCCGACGAAGGTCACTGCCTGTCGGAGACGCCGTCCTACTGTATGTTACGCAGCATGCGTGCTGCGCGTGAGTGTACAGCTAGGAAATAAGCACAGGTATAATTTATATTGATTAGGACGACTAACAAGTTGACAAAGGGTGAGCTATGGCCCTATAACATCTAATAAGAAAGTGCATGTATGGAAGGAACCCGGTCTATTAAAAAAATAATATGTAGTGCAAATACTGTCTGTTGTTTACGTGAGTGGTACACATTTAAATAAAACATTGACGGTTTAAAACGCTTTATGTATAATTTTTTCGCCAGTCTCGCCAAATAAACAACTTCGACACAACAGATGGCGCTAGCGTACCAGTTTTTACTTTCACGTCAGAGACATCCTCCATCTTTAGTCTCTCCATGACGACTGCTGCTAAGCATCCGATACGTCGGGCCGTAGTTAAAAATAATTTTCAAATAAGTTGAACTAATATTTATCGCGTTTTAAAACGGTTAAGTGTTTTATTTAAATATGTAGTGCACTTACAATATGTGAAGATTCTAAAATGAAACCTGGCGGTTAAAGGGAGTGGCGGCGAGTTTTTCGCCAGTTCTTCTCGTTCGTTCTACGCCCTTGGTTTGAGAACTGTTAGTAAATGTAAAGTTAGTCTTTAGTTTTTAAATGTGACGTTCATAAGCGTACAATTTGATTAACAATTATATCTCTTATGATTTATTTCCGATTTATTAATAAATACAAATTAGAATCGAACTAATATTGCAGATCTATATATGTAGATAGACTGTCGATGCTTATCAGTTGTAAAATTAGCAATACAAATCAGTCACTGATTCTTTGATAATTCTTGAACTTTAACGAAGGTCATTATCAAGATCATCATTTGTAAAAGATCATTTACATGTTTTACAATAAGAAATATATGTTTTTGTGTCTTGAAAAACTGTGTCTGTGTCTTTCACCCCACAAAGATATTGCTTTAAGTTTTTATTATTACATAATGTACATATAATTTGCTTTAAGTAAAAAACCTTAAACGGTTTAAAACGCGAAATATGTTAGTTAAACTTATTTACAAAAAAATTTAACTACCCGACGTTTCAAACACAAAAACAGCATACCAGCAAACGCGGAGATGGTTAGTCAATCTGCAAAAAATCAGCTAGTTTCGCCAAAAACCAACTATGACGGAACAGATGGCGCCAGTGCACCAGTTTTTACTTTGACATTAGAAACCCTCCATCTTTAGTCTTTCCGTGACCACGGC